GTCTCTACGTCTTAGAATCCACTGCACTAATTTGACTGAAATTCCTTACAGCGAGCCCCAAGAAAGGGTTAAGACAAGTTTTATCCCAGAAACGTCACGGACACGGGAACTACGAGTTGAAACTTCTGAACACTATAGTATCTTTTAAACTACTGAACCTATTTGACTGAAATTTCGTACAAAGGTAGTTTGAGACCTGAAAAAGAACCTTAACAGATTTTATTTTTTAAACCCTATGGAAATGAGAATTATGAGTTGAAATCCCAAGACGCTATGTCTTTCAAACTACTCAACTCATTCGACTGAAGTTCCGTCCAATGATAGATTGAGACCCGATAGAAAATAGAAAGGAGTTAACCTGGAAACCCCCTCAGGAATCGGAACTACGCGTCATAATCCCGGAACGCTATTTCTTTTAAACTACTGATCTTATATGACTGCCATTCCATACACTGATAGTTTGAGACTTCAGAAAGGGCATAGAATAGTTTTTATTCCGAAAATTTCACAGGAACAGGATCTGTACGAGTTGAACTTCAAGACTGCATGTCAGATAAATCTCGACGCAGATTAGGATGACACATATAACAACTTACTTATTTTGTGCATAAAACAAAACAAAGTTTTTTGTAATAAAATAACACGTTTATTGCTGTTACTGTGTCCAAGGCGTAGATACCACCGCCATTCATTCCAGGACGAGTGCCATTCCACACATGAAATCTCTGTACATTCAAAGGTTTTGAGAACCTTTCTTATACGATGCTTTAACTACTTTACTAAATACTTTTCTAAAAGACTCTGTTTCAAAGTAAATAAAATGTTTCTGCTTAAATCCATATATACTCTTTTAAAAATGCCTTTACAAAGCGTTCATTATTAACGGCTGACATGTGCATTTCAAATATGTTTTTGATTGCTATTAGATATATCTTTTACATGTATATCATTTTTAAATCGACTGAAGACTAGTATTTGTTTGGATTTGGAGTATACTGCTTCATTTAAAATTGGTGTTCCTTCGTGTTCTCTGTTAGATATGGCATGAGCAGTAGCTCCATCATCTGAATTAGGTACATCTTTGACGTAGGGACCTGTTTTTTATCTATTTTGTTAATTTATTTAAGTTTATCTGATTTTGAGTCTGACAAGCTAAAAACCTCTTCTACTTCATTATTATTTTTTATATTCCTTACAGATTCATTATTATCTACGTTTACTAACGTCGACTCATTATCATCATTATCTAATGTGTTAACTTTTATTTCTCTATTTTTCTTACCATTTAGACCAAGTATAATATTATTATTGTCCACGCTTAATGCATTAAATTTTATTCGCGATAACGCATCTGCGTTTGAATTCTGCGAACCTTTTTTATGATTGATCTCGAAATCATATTCTTCTAATCTAACTAAGTATGGTCTGAAATGCTTAACTGCCCAGATTACTGCTAAAAGCTATTATATTAATTAAGTATTTGTTGTATACGGTGACAAAAACCTAAATAACTTTCGCTTCTATTTATTTTTAGACTTTCTAACGCTAATGCTAGACAATCTTCTGTTCTTGGATCCCCAAAAATCTGTTTTGGTACTGCCCAGGAGTGTATTGTATCTCGTTCACCAATTAAATTCGCGGCTTCTCCGCTTAGTCTACCTACTAGTTATCGCGTAGAACATATTAATTCTGTATTTCATTGCCGCGATATAAATAAATGATATATTCAGTTTTACGAATGAATAAAGCCAATAACCTTGTCTCTCCACTAATTACAGGAATGATCTTTAATACTCCGGGAGGTATAACTATGATTCCTTCCATTTTTATGTAGTCGTACAACTAAAAATATCCTAACAAACTAACTACATAATTATAACTATTTACTAAACGTGAAAATGATATCACTGTTATGCGTTACATACCAGAAGGGCTTTTTCTAATCCCTTTATGATACACGAGACACACACAATTATCACAGGGAAATTCAAAGAAAAGTAGACAAGATAGTGAAAAGATCTACTTACTCACATGACCCGCTGCTTTTCGCTCGTCCCGTTATTGATGATTTCATAATATCTACGACTGACTCGATTCTGATAAGATTTGTTACACAGCATTGGAAAGGACGAAATAATGAAGCCAAAAATTGCCAGAAGTCATTATTATACGCGGACGAAGTCGCTGGGAACGGGTAGATATCTATAAATACCACGCGGATTATTAGCTGATCTGTGTAAACAAAAGGCGTGGGACTTTTACATTGATAATTAGAGGTTTAGAAGCACTTAACAAAATATCTTCACTTAATTGTTACCTTTCAATTGACAAAAGACCATTTCAGTTAACAATAACATTAAAGGTTTCATTGTTTAGAAAAACGATAATGGGTATGTGTGATTGTGTGTCCCGCTAACAAACGAGCGCTACCTGCCTGTCGTATAAGGCGTAGCTGGCCCACCATCGCGTCGCATTAGTACAGCGGCCGCGCTACGATAGCACTTTCGTCTGCTCCGCCACGCGCTCTATCTTGATTTAATTTTTTAAATAATGCGATAAACAACCAAACATGCAGAATTTCTACCTACACGTGCAACATGCTGCTTTTACGTGCCGCCGACGCCGACGAGTATCGCCAATGAAGAATTGAAGGAAGCACTGCAGCATCACATATTGTCTCCAGAAAGGATGTGGTCTCTTGGCTATCCGGTGGAACTGGAGCCAAATTCTTCGAAGGCAGTAGTGTATATTAATCCGCCGCCTCGACCTAGACCTCTGCCTACCCATTGGAATGTCAACGCTCCGGAGTTTGTACCCGGTTCACAAGGTGACAGCGGTCGTGGGTCATGGGATTCGTCTCCACGATCCGACAGTGACGAAGAAGTCGACACCGTACAACATACATGTGTGAGATGTGATAGACAGTTTGAAATGACCGTCAATGGAGAGTATACGAAATTTGATACTTGTGTTTACCATTGGGGACGTGTGAGTGAGAGTCGTTACTCGTGTTGCAAGTCATTAGTGGGTTCTAAAGGCTGCACCGTAGCCCGATTTCATGTGTGGAGTGGCACTCGTCCTGGAATGAATGGGCCCCTCGAAGGATACGTACGAGCCCGTTCGCGTCGCGGTGGCGTCTACGCCTTGGACACAGAAATGTGTTACACAAGTGCAGGTTTGGAATTAGCCAGTGTTGCGGTCATCGCCGCTGATGGACAACTAGTGTACAAGAATTCGTAAAACCGAGTTCACCGGTAGTGGATGCCAATACTCGTTTCTCCGGCATCAGGCCGCGCGACTTGGCGCTCGCGACTAAGACGTTGAGAGACGTTCAAGATGATATTCTTGAATTCGTGGGTACTGACACAATCCTCATTGGTCATGCCCTCGAAAATGACCTGCGTGCACTAAAACTTTTACATAGCGCAGTGGTGGATACGTGTGCGATGTATCCTCATCCTCGGAGTTTTCCCATGCGAAGATCATTGCGGGCTCTCTCCGAGGAGGTGCTGGGCCGCATGATCCAGTGCGGAAGCGCCGGTCACTCTCCTGTAGAAGACGCACGAGCGGCGCTAGACTTAGTGCTAATGAAATTATACGAAGAACGAGCAAGCCGCGCCAGCACCATACTGCAGCCGTACGATCCGCTAATTAGTGGTATTTGATATTGTGTTAAATGTAAGACGACTGTTCTATGGAATTGACTAATTATATTGTGTGAACGGACTTTTGTAAGTGACAAATTCGTCACGTTGACGAATCTGCGCGTACCTACTGTAACAGTATGTGCCTTCGAATTGTAGTAACAGCAATAAACGTGATATTTTATTACAAAAACTTTGTTTTGTTTTATCCTTCTCCTAAAATGCACAAAATAACTAAGTTGTAATATGTTTAACCCAAACTATGTAACACCTATTGTACACATGATATAACGTAATAAAAGTTTGAATTTGAAAAAAAAAAAAACAGAAGTCAAAAAATAAAGAGAAAATAATTTTTTGTCTATAAACTATAAACTCCTAAAATTAAAATTATTATATTATTATTCTGATGTATGACCTACATACGTTACTGTGAAGTGTCATGTAAATCTAATCAGTAAGTTTTGCTTCAACCAGTAACAAATACACACACACACATATCCTCACAAACTTTCGCATTTATAATATTATTAGTAGGATAGTAAAGTATATCTTAGAGAACATCTGTGGGGTAGTTTTATTTCCGAAATATAACGGAAACAGGAAATCTACCTACGTCTAAATCCCAGGTCTCTTCGTCTTAGAATCCACTGTACTAATTTGCTTACAGCGTGTCATTAGTGGGTTCTAATGGCTGCGGCGTAGCCCGATTTCATGTGTGGAATGGCACTCGTCCTGGAATGAATGGCGGTGGTATCTACGCCTTGGACACAGTAACAGCAATAAACGTGTTATTTTATTACAAAAAACTTTGTTTTGTTTTATCCTACTCCTAAATGCACAAGAAGTTCTACTCGTACAGTTCCAGTTCCTGTGAAATTTTCGGAATAAAAACTATTCTATGCCCTATCTGAAGTCTCAAACTATCAGTGTATGGAATGGCAGTCATATAAGATCAGTAGTCATACATCAGAATAATAATATAATAATTTTAATTTTAGGAGTTTATAGTTTATAGACAAAAAATTATTTTCTCTTTATTTTTTGACTTCCTGTTTTATTTTTTTTTTCAAATTCAAACTTTTATTACATTATATCATGTGTACAATAGGTGTTACATAGTTGGGTTAAACATATTACATCTTAGTTATTTTGTGCATTTTAGGAGAAGGATAATACAAAACAAAGTTTTTGTAACAAAATATCACGTTTATTGCTGTTACTACAATTCGAAGGCACATACTGTTACAGTACGCGCAGATTCGTCAACGTGACGAATTTGTCAGTTACAAAAGTCCGTTCACACAATATAATTAGTCAATTCCATAGAATAGTCGTTTTACATTTAACACAGTATCAAATACCACTAATTAGCGGATCGTACGGCTGCAGTATGGCGCGGCTTGCTCGTTCTTCGTATAATTTCATTAGCACTAAGTCTAGCGCCGTTCGTGCGTCTTCTACAGGAGAGTGACCGGCGCTTCCGCACTGGATCATGCGGCCCAGCACCTCCTCGGAGAGAGCCCGCAATGATCTTCGCATGGGAAAACTCCGAGGATGAGGATACATTGCACACGTATCCACCACTGCGCTATGTAAAAGTTTTAGTGCACGCAGGTCATTTTCGAGGGCATGACCAATGAGGATTGTGTCAGTACCCACGAATTCAAGAATATCATCTTGAACGTCTCTCAACGTCTTAGTCGCGAGCGCCAAGTCGCGCGGCCTGATGCCGGAGAAACGAGTATTGGCATCCACTACCGGTGAACTCGGTTTTACGAATTCTTGGTACACTAGTTGTCCATCAGCGGCGATGACCGCAACACTGGCTAATTCCAAACCTGCACTCGTGTAACACATTTCTGTGTCCAAGGCGTAGACGCCACCGCGACGCGAACGGGCTCGTACGTATCCTTCGAGGGGCCCATTCATTCCAGGACGAGTGCCACTCCACACATGAAATCGGGCTACGGTGCAGCCTTTAGAACCCACTAATGACTTGCAACACGAGTAACGACTCTCACTCACACGTCCCCAATGGTAAATACAAGTATCAAATTTCGTAAATTCTCCATCGGCTGTCATTTGAAACTGTCTATCACATCTCACACAGGTATGTTCTACGGTGTCGACTTCTTCGTCACTGTCGGATCGTGGAGTCGTATCCCATGACCCACGACCGCTGTCACCCTGTGAACCGGGTACAAACTCCGGAGCGTTGACATTCCAATGGGTAGGCAGAGGTCTAGGTCGAGGCGGCGGATTAATATACACTACTGCCTTCGAAGAGTTTGGCTCCAGTTCCACTGGATAGCCAAGAGTCCACATCCTTTCTGGAGACAATATGTGATGCTTAAGTGCTTCCTTCAAGTCTTCATTGGCGATACTCGTCGGCGTCGGCGGCACGTAAAAGCAGCAACGTTGCAAGTTTATGCAGAAATTATGCATGTTTGATTGTTTATCGCGATTATTTTAAAAAATAAATCAAGACAGAGCGCCTGGTCGGAGCAGACGAAAGTGCTATCGCGAGCGCGGCCGCTGTACTACTAATGCGACGCGATGGTGGGCCACCCTACGCCTTCTACGATATGTACGTGCAGGTAGCGATCGTTTGTTAGCGGGACACACAATTCGACGTATTTTGTAAATTTCCCACGCCTTTTCTTTACACCGATCACCTAATAATCCGCGTGGTGTTTATAAATGGCAATTTTTGGCTTCATTATTTCGTCATTTCCAATGCTGTGTAACAAATCTTATCAGAATCGACTCAGTCGTAGTTTTTTTTATTTTTTATTTGAAAACTCAACAGCTTATAAATATATATACATGAGTTGGGAATACATATCACACCCTCAATGCACAGCCTTATGCAGTTTCATGAAAGAATATATACTAGCTTGGAAATGTGACGTCGACACACGCTGCACACAGTGATAACGAGATGATGACAATTATTACTTAAGCCAATTACAGAGTTTCATGACATTTGTAAAAGACTAGTTAAACCAGAAAGTAATGTAAGCGAAGATTAAAAGGTAACATAACACAATCCAATAATAAGATGCATTATCACATCAGTTACAAAAACACAAAATATTATTATGTTGACAACCCTAGTAAATATGACCAAAATTACATCACATCCAATAATTCAATGCGCCTAGACTATTGAAATATTTATGAGTAACTATAATTATTTACTGAGTGTTGAACTGGCACATGGTACAATCTGCTTATCAAACAGAATCTGCTTTACTTGTTTACGGTATATGACCGTTTGGACATATGAAATATATCAACATTTTCAAAAAATTCTAAGTATACGCGAGGCAGTCGGGTCATCACAGCGTTTCTCCCGTATTTTGTTTTGTGCGGCAGCCAGGGATACTGAGCAAATTCGTACGTCTGGTACGCGTTTTAGGGGTGCAGAAACGTATACATGATAGCAGATCACCGCTGTCCAAGTGACCTCGGAGGATATCAAAGAGAAAAAGCATATCCAACGACTTACGTCTATCCATAAGGGGAAGTATATCGTAATGTTTACAGTCCAGGGCATAAAAATCATGACGTACATAGACTTTTTTGTAGATTTTCTATCCTTTTAACCAGATTCGGCTACAGTACTCCAAAATACTGCGGACATAAGCATAGTATAAAATCTTTAGAGTATGACAAATTCTAAATGGCTTACTAATACGTACTACGAAACCAAGGTTGCGGTACGCTCTGTTGGTGATGGTGTCAGTATGTTGGTCAAAAAGCAACTTAGAATTAAGCATTTTACTAAGATCCTGACTACATTGACCCTTTCGATCACATTATGATTGCATCTATACGAATACCTTATTAGGAATTTGGAATTATTTTCTACATACAAAAAGTCCATGAAAACTTCTTCAAATGGCATATTTAGTGTCTGAGTAAATTGTATCTGAGGCTCTATTGGTTTCCTATCATATTTCATTTGCCTACACTGTTCGCATGCATTGATGACGGCGGCTATTGTGTCTTTCATTATGAGACCACCATGAATAATGCCTTTTAAGTTTGTTGTGTTGTGAACTGTTTTGCCCTCACGGTATTTCATAATAATTTCTCTTTGTTCTTCTTCATTAGTTACATTGACTACTCTCTCTGTACATTCGATTAGGTTTTGAGAACCTTTCTTATACGATGATTTAACTACTTTACTAAATACTTTTCTACAAGACTCTGTTTCAAAGTAAATAAAATGTTTCTGCTCAAATCCATATATACTCTTTTAAAAATGCCTTTACAAAGCGTTCATTATTAACGGCTGACATGTGCATTTCAAATATGTTTTTGATTGCTATTAGATATATCTTTTACATGTATATCATTTTTAAATCGATTGAAGACTAGTATTTGTTTGGATTTGGAGTATAGTGCTTCATTTAAAATTGGTGTTCCTTCGTGTTCTCTGTTAGATATGGCATGAGCAGTAGCTCCATCATCTGAATTAGGTACATCTTTGACGTAGGGACCTGTTTTTTATCTATTTTGTTAATTTATCTAAGTTTGTCTGATTTTGAGTCTGACAAGCTAATTACCTCTTCTACTTCATTATTATTTTTTATATTCCTTACAGATTCATTATTATCTACGTTTACTAACGTCGACTCATTATCATCATTATCTAATGTGTTAACTTTTATTTCTCTATTTTTCTTACCATTTAGACCAAGTATAATATTAGTATTGTCCACGCTTAATGCATTAAATTTTATTCGCGATAACGCATCTGCGTTTGAATTCTGCGAACCTTTTTTATGATTGATCTCGAAATCATATTCTTCTAATCTAACTTAGTATGGTCTGAAATGCTTAACTGCCCAGATTACTGCTAAAAGCTATTATATTAATTAAGTATTTGTTGTATACGGTGACAAAAACTTAAATAACTTTCGCTTCTATTTATTTTTAGACTTTCTAACGCTAATGCTAGACAATCTTCTGTTCTTGGATCCCAAAAATCTTTTTGTACTGCCCAGAAGTGTATTGTATCTCGTTCACTAATTAAATTCGCGGCTTCTTCGCTTAGTCTACCTACTAGTTATCGCGTAGAACATATTAATTCTGTATTTCATTGCCGCGATATAAATAAATGATATATTCAGTTTTACGAATGAATAAAGCCAATAACCTTGTCTCTCCACTAATTACAGGAATGATCTTTAATACTCCGGGAGGTATAACTATGATTCCTTCCATTTTTATGTAGTCGTACAACTAAAAATATCCTAACGAACTAACTACATAATTATAACTATTTACTAAACGTGAAAATGATATCACTGTTATGCGTTACATACCAGAAGGGCTTTTTCTAATCCCTTTATGATACACGAGACACACACAATTATCACAGGGAAATTCAAAGAAAAGTAGACAAGATAGTGAAAAGATCTACTTACTCACATGACCCGCTGCTTTTCGCTCGTCCCGTTATTGATGATTTCATAATATCTACGACTGACTCGATTCTGATAAGATTTGTTACACAGCATTGGAAAGGACGAAATAATGAAGCCAAAAATTGCCAGAAGTCATTATTATACGCGGACGAAGTCGCTGGGAACGGGTAGATATCTATAAATACCACGCGGATTATTAGCTGATCTGTGTAAACAAAAGGCGTGGGACTTTTACATTGATAATTAGAGGTTTAGAAGCACTTAACAAAATATCTTCACTTAATTGTTACCTTTCAATTGACAAAAGACCATTTCAGTTAACAATAACATTAAAGGTTTCATTGTTTAGAAAAACGATAATGGGTATGTGTGATTGTGTGTCCCGCTAACAAACGAGCGCTACCTGCACCGTATAAGGCGTAGCTGGCCCACCATCGCGTCGCATTAGTACAGCGGCCGCGCTTACGATAGCACTTTCGTCTGCTCCGCCCACGCGCTCTATCTTGATTTAATTTTTTAAATAATCGCGATAAACAACCAAACATGCAGAATTTCTACCTACACGTGCAACACTGCTGCTTTTACGTGCCGCCGACGCCGACGAGTATCGCCAATGAAGAATTGAAGGAAGCACTGCAGCATCACATATTGTCTCCAGAAAGGATGTGGTCTCTTGGCTATCCGGTGGAACTGGAGCCAAATTCTTCGAAGGCAGTAGTGTATATTAATCCGCCGCCTCGACCTAGACCTCTGCCTACCATTGGAATGTCAACGCTCCGGAGTTTGTACCCGGTTCACAAGGTGACAGCGGTCGTGGGTCATGGGATTCGTCTCCACGATCCGACAGTGACGAAGAAGTCGACACCGTACAACATACATGTGTGAGATGTGATAGACAGTTTGAAATGACCGTCAATGGAGAATATACGAAATTTGATACTTGTGTTTACCATTGGGGACGTGTGAGTGAGAGTCGTTACTCGTGTTGCAAGTCATTAGTGGGTTCTAAAGGCTGCACCGTAGCCCGATTTCATGTGTGGAGTGGCACTCGTCCTGGAATGAATGGGCCCCTCGAAGGATACGTACGAGCCCGTTCGCGTCGCGGTGGCGTCTACGCCTTGGACACAGAAATGTGTTACACAAGTGCAGGTTTGGAATTAGCCAGTGTTGCGGTCATCGCCGCTGATGGACAACTAGTGTACCAAGAATTCGTAAAACCGAGTTCACCGGTAGTGGATGCCAATACTCGTTTCTCCGGCATCAGGCCGCGCGACTTGGCGCTCGCGACTAAGACGTTGAGAGACGTTCAAGATGATATTCTTGAATTCGTGGGTACTGACACAATCCTCATTGGTCATGCCCTCGAAAATGACCTGCGTGCACTAAAACTTTTACATAGCGCAGTGGTGGATACGTGTGCGATGTATCCTCATCCTCGGAGTTTTCCCATGCGAAGATCATTGCGGGCTCTCTCCGAGGAGGTGCTGGGCCGCATGATCCAGTGCGGAAGCGCCGGTCACTCTCCTGTAGAAGACGCACGAGCGGCGCTAGACTTAGTGCTAATGAAATTATACGAAGAACGAGCAAGCCGCGCCAGCACCATACTGCAGCCGTACGATCCGCTAATTAGTGGTATTTGATATTGTGTTAAATGTAAGACGACTGTTCTATGGAATTGACTAATTATATTGTGTGAACGGACTTTTGTAAGTGACAAATTCGTCACGTTGACGAATCTGCGCGTACCTACTGTAACAGTATGTGCCTTCGAATTGTAGTAACAGCAATAAACGTGATATTTTATTACAAAAACTTTGTTTTGTTTTATCCTTCTCCTAAAATGCACAAAATAACTAAGTTGTAATATGTTTACCCCAACTATGTAACACCTATTGTACACATGATATAATGTAATAAAAGTTTGAATTTGAAAAAAAAACAAGCAGAAAGTCAAAAAAT